GAGATTATATATATATATATATATATATATATATATATATGTATATACACATAATTATTTATATTTGGCTTTTACTAACCTTTCCCTGAGATTCAAACTTGAACTTGAGAGTGAACCATGTCAATCCTCTGTCCACAAACGGTGCAAGAGCAAGTGCCCTGCCTCCACCAAATAATAACAATAATTTGCACCCTCTGATTATTGAAACATTACCATTTCAAAGGATTTGTTTTCAGACAAAATCCGAGTTTCTTATGAAGGATCTCTATACATTACTTGCTGGGTGCCAATATTTGTATATACAATACAACCTAATCATCACTAACCTTACTGTTAATGGTGATTAGTACAAGATGCTACTAAATCTTTAATGCTGTGACTTGCAAGTCTCGTCAAAATGGTGTAGAAAACGCCTAAATTTGCAGGCCAATTAATTAGGAGAAATTGTTTTAGTAGCTTACCCTCCAGCTCTGATGAGCTTAGTAACTTGGCTTCCGGCCCACACCATTGCCATCACTTTGAGAAATCTGCACCCAACGATAATCCTTTCACGCTCCTTCCGCTCTTACAAAGTGTTCAAAATATTGGGTGTACCTCTCGACAGCGGCAACATAACCCATTCTTCCAGGCGCTGGAGCCACGTAGAACCTGAAACAACAGATGGATTTTAACAGAACCGAAAACATAACGGCATTATTCTGTTAAAAAAAATATAGATTTGTTCTAAGACAGTCATGCAAAAATTTAGAAATACAAATATGCCTGTGAGACATTTAAGATGCCTGCGTATAAGATGTTTAAGATGCCAAATTAGATGAATACATATAATATGGATACTTAAGATGCCGGAACAGATGATGAATACTTGTAACAACATCTCCGCAGATCTAGGCGGCTTGAAAAATCCAAGATACACATGAAGATACACCGATATCTTATTCCACTCACCAGACTAACAGGAATGCTATGGTGTAATAGACGGTATTAAGTAGCCCATAAGACAATACTCCAGAAATTCCATATTTCTTCAATTTCTCAAGAACCCTGCAATTTTTCAAGAAAATCAAAGGTCAAAAAGGGAATCAAACCAAAAGAAAGAAAGATCATAGCAGTTAAGCTTCCTACAACGGGAAAAAATCTTCCAATATCTTACCCCTTTCCATGCCCAAATTCAGCTACATAGATCAGAATGAAAATATTCAAGCTAACGTTTGCCCAGACCTCATCAGTATTACAAACTACATCTTTCATACTTGCTACTGGAATTGGAAACCCAGAGAGATAACAAAGTACTTCAGGAAAAGTATGGAGCCGAAAAGCTACTACATGAAGCATGGGACCGAAACCAAGTCATAATGATTTCTCGTATGATCTTATACTGTGGGACGGAAACCCAGTGTCCCACAGGATAAGCAGCTAAGCTAACAATAAGGCACACAAAATCTTCATGTATATTCATAAAACCGAAAAAGAAAGAGAGTAACACACATACATATCTCGCGTTCCAAATATCGTGACAACAAGTCTAATGGCTAACATACACAAAACCACGTTCTAGCTCTCATATTTTCTGAAGAATATTCTACATAACATCTCATCCCGTGAGAAAGCACAGAGAAACGTGTTAAAGTAAGGATAGGCATATGACATACTCTTTAGAACTGAACGAGCTTTTCCTGCTGCTCTCGTTCTTGTCCAACATATCTTCAAGAAAGGAAAAGGAAACGAGAGAGCAATCGCGAAGGACCAAAACTTATATGAGAAACAAAATTGACTGAATGTATAAACTTAAGAAGATAGAGTAAGGTTTTAACCATAAACAAAGCAAGCAAAAACCGATAAACCTACTAATGTTCCATGAAGATAGATAAAGCAAGACACGGAAACTTATATTCAAAACTGATTCAATGCATCCGCTTCAGAAGTTGCAGACATGTTACACCCACAAACAAAACATAACTCCGACTCTACCAAAAAGTTCATACCTTCTCCATTGGAAGGGCCTCTCTGAACATCATCCGATTTACTAAAAGCCTAAAATTTGCCCCCATGAAGCCGTCGCCAAAGAAAACGAGAATCAACAATCAGCAAGAAAAAGCACATACGTATGAATAGCTCGTGCTCCCACACTGATTATCCAATTCACGGGAAAAAAAGGATGATCCACACAACAACACATTTGAAATTCTCTGATTCACGACGAGAACGAAGGATAAAACCGAAAAAGATGAGAAGAAAAGAAAACGACCCACATTGTGACTGCGGCATCTAACAGAGAAAAGTGGTCGGCGATTATGGTGGATTACGGAGAAGCCATGCGACGAAGGGGAGAGAGGGCGTGAGAAATTGGTGCGAATGCTCAGGCATGAGGAATCAAAGGGCCCTTTGGGGCAGAGAGAGAACTGTGGAACAAGGAATGAGGATTGGCCACAAGATCGAAATTAGGGTTTCATAAACACAATCCCAGAGAGGAAGATGAGGGTACCAGCGAAAACGAGAGAGGTGAACGGTGGATCCCGACCAGCCTCATCCGGCGAAAAGCCTATGACACCTCTCCGTACAAATTCAGTTGTGCTTTCGTTTTGTTACTTCAAAAAAAAACATTGCAACTTTATCCCTACAAATTGATTCTTCGATGCGACTTATTTTAGATTTAGATTTGATTATTTTTTTTATTCAATTTTATAAATTTTTTAAAAAATGCATATATTTATTTTTATCCCATTCTAATCATGTTAATATATTTTAATATTTTGTATGAAAATAATATTCATTTTATGAAATTTTCAACTATTTTGTGTTTAATTAATTTATAAAAGAGTTGCCTCTGGTCTACAAAACGCTTTGATTCAATTGGGCACTCACAGACAACCCAACTCCTTTTTCCTTTGGGCCTAATATTTAGGCCCATTCACATACCCATAAAGAGGGATGGAGACAAAATGGGATTGGAACGGAGACGGAGGCAGAGCTCGCCATTGAAGTCGAGGGGACAGAAGGGACACGCATCTCATCTAATTAAGCTGTATCTTGTCCAGAATCTCAATCATCAGGTTCTTATCTATATCCTACGAGCTCCTCCTATATCTGTCGGAAATTTAGTTTCCTGAAGCTGTATTGGATCTAATTACCTTCTATATTCGATTCTGTTAGCAGGGTTCCTATACATTGATCGAATCCGATTGCGGATTCAGTTTTGGTAATTCTGGGTTCGCTTTGACGTTTAGGGTTTTGTGTTGTTATCTCTCCACGGATGACGTCTGTTTGTCCTTTTGCCAAATCTGCTCGTCCTGATGAATCTTGCCCTCGGAAGCAACGTGAAGCCGCGAGCAAAAGCTGTCCTGAACTCGAGGGCAAGGCGAAGAAGGACTGTACGGACTCCGCCACGGTTTCTCCCAAGTGCCCATTTGGTTATGACTCTCAAACATTCAAGATCGGACCTTTCAGTTGCGTGATTTGCCAAGCACTTCTTTACGAGACCAGCAGATGTGTGCCTTGCACTCATGTATTCTGCAAGTGAGTCCTCTTTTCTCACTTTCTTCGTGTAAAAGTTTCATGTTTTGGTGGGTCGATTCTATAGAGATCCTTCTTTTTTGTTTGGCACAGAGCATGCATTTCACGGTTCAAGGACTGCCCACTTTGCGGTGCTGACATTGAAAAGATTGAAGCTGATGAAAAACTTCAGAAGATGGTTGAGCAGTTTATCGAAGGTCATGCTAGAATCAAAAGATCTCTTATTGATACTGGAAAAGAAGAGGTAGAATTAGAAAACAATTGCAAAGAGGTGGTCTACGAGGATGTCTCGTTGGAAAGAGGTTCTTTCTTGGTGCAGCAAGCAATGAGGGTGTGTAACCGAACTAGATAGGATATTGTACTGAATATGCTTATTAGGAATATCTCAGCTGTGGAATTCTTGTTATTGTCCTTCTTAATGTATACCAATCTTTATGTGTAGGCATTTCGAGCCCAGAATTTTGAAAGTGCAAAGTCAAGGTTAACAATGTGTGCGGAAGACATCCGGGATCAATTAGAGAGGATGGGAAACACACCAGAGTTGTGTTCACAGCTTGGAGCAGTTCTTGGCATGCTTGGAGACTGCAGGTAATGTTTGGTTCCCCCTTTTTAAGTTCGAAAAATTTTTATACTTATCTCTCTGCTCTCAATGTTCTCTGGAAACATTGAAGTTCAGCAGCAAGAATGCTTTGGATAGTTGTTACAACTTACACATGCTGTGTCCAAATGTGTTTTAAGACAATGAGTTGGGTCTTCTTAAGTGAAAAACGGAGCACTTTATTCTGAAATCTGGTATTGTTTAGTTCAATCTTACCAGAAGTACATCATGGTTTTTTGGTTGAACTTAACTTGGCTTGTTGCTACAGCCGAGCAATGGGAGATTCAAGCTCAGCAGTCAATCATTTCGAAGAGAGTGTTGAATTCCTTATGAAACTGCCGATTGATGATTTGGAGGTTTTAGCATAATTTGGTTCCCTTTGTTATATTGTGGATTTGCGTTCTTTTCCCCGTTCCTCAATAAATATTTCTGAACTTGCAGATCACACACACACTTTCCGTATCACTCAACAAAATAGGAGATCTTAAATACTATGATGGGGACCTACAAGCTGCAAGATCTTATTACTTCCGTTCTTTAAATGTCAGACGCGATGCTATGAAGCTTCATCCAGATTCTCCTTCACAGGTAAGAATGCTTTTACTGTTTCACTTTTTGTTATTTTCCTTTCATCTTGGTTGTGGTATATCCGATTCATTCTAGATCTAAGATTACTTCAAAAGCATGATATTTCTGATTACAAGTTAGTTGTCGTCCTCATCCATAAGAAATCGGTGATGAAGTAGTGCTGAGTACTCCATGGATGATAAGGTTGTTATATTTATTAAATCATTATAGCATATACATGAAGGCTAACCACAATACTTCGGAGTGAAATTGCTTCCTGCTGTAGTTAATTCTTCTTATTGTTGTTAATTAGGATTTTGCAAGATGAGAGTTAGACGGTATTTAACAAGATTCATTTTGTTGTAATACACTATCTAGCCACATTACATACTCAGGTTCCCATATAGATGATGTTCGAATGGACGACAAAATTTGTGTTCTATGCATTGTTCATGGCTTTCATTAATGGTTCTTACCAAGATAAATACAATCCTATCTGACGAAACATGTCGATGTTGTTTGTTGTCATGTCTTTCGTACTAGATTCTGGATGTGGCAGTTTCTCTAGCGAAAGTTGCTGATGTAGACAGGACTCTACAAAATGAAGGTGAAGCCATCAATGGTTTCAAAGAAGGCATCAAGCTCTTGGAATTGAAACTAGACTCCAAAGATTCTGCTCTCGACCAACGAGTAAGATTACTAAAATGACTCTCTTTCCCGTTTACTTAAACGATCCCCTCGCCTCATCACACCGGGTACCCACTCCACGGGTATCTGTAGCTCGGGTACCTGACCATCTCAGTCCGAGTTCAGGTACTCTGACAGAGAAACCCGAGGGGGCGAGGACAGGCCGAGGTTGGGTATGCCGGAAAACTCGGATACCCGACCGGCACCCATACAGATGAAAACACTAACGCATGATATTCTGTTAACTGCAAACAGCGGATATCGGTGCTGGAGTTTCTCAAGAGCCAAGCTGCAGAGGGGAAGCCCGACTCGGCGGAAATCTCATCCTGAATCGGCTGTATAGGCGATTATATATATTCGTACGTATGTACATACTCTGTGTATCTGTTGCCTTGGAAAAGGTTTCAGGACAGGTAAGCTACTGGTTGTGCTTCAGAACATAAACATGATGGACAAGAACAAAGCTTTGCTTTTACATCTTTTAAGCTGTTTGAATAAAAATATCAATGGAGAGTGTCCTCTTTGGTAATTTGGCATTGCATCATATTATAACACACACATATATATATATATATATATATATATATATATATATATATATCGGTTCGATTACACATATATACTGGCAAACAATTAATTGGTGAACTCGCTATATCAGGAATTATGAAAAGTTTATACACTGTTAAGGAGTTTACGATATTATTATTTTGTCTTTCGATACAAGAAAACTTCAGCGCTATATCAAGAGTTCGGATATTGCATGGATATACCCAAAATTGGAATATACGATTCTTCACTAGATCAATGATCAAGAACTCCGGCATATATATATATATATATATATAAAAGTTGAATTTATAGATGGGAGTTCTGATACATTCATGTGTTACATGAAATATGAAATAATCGTCAAAAACAAAAAAATAAAACAAAAATCAGAGAGGCGCAGCTCCGACCTATGTTTTTCACACCCTGATATCTCTTATTCTTTTACAGGGCATGAAGATGCACACAAGTCTCCTTACCTCGTCCCGGGTGGGAACGAAGTAATTGAGGCCGCCAGATCGCCTGACGTTGCTGCCGCTGCCGCCGTGGCCCTTGTCGGTGCAAAATAGCGAGCAAGGTATCATGCACGATTCATAGGACGGCTCTTTCGCCACTTCGAAACATCCCGGGATACAGCGCCTCAGGCAATTGCTTTTCAGACACGGAAAACATCCATTGACGCAGTCCTGGTTCCGACACAGAACGCAGTTCTTTTCGACGCAACCATCCCTCTCGGCAGTGCCCGTTTCCACCAGAAACATCGTTATCATCAGGGCGAAAACCGGTATCATTCCGTACGCCTTCTTCATCGTCGTTCCCGGCAAGATCGATTGACGCGACAAACTTTACGAACGTGTTGGTAAATTTATATATAGTTGTGGTTTACGCTATTTTTAGGTGCGCGAATTCTATGGCGTTGTACAGAAGATTAATTAGTGCTTCTTTTTTTTGGTAAATAAGATTAATGCTTTTTAATTTTTTTTTTTTTGTTGAGAAGACTTATCCAGCTTTGACTCAACTGTTACAACGATATAATTTCACATATTTCACTAACATTTATATAACAAATTTTCTCCATGAGTTTTCAAGGTTCTGCTTGTTATATCCCCGATCGGAGAAATTTATCACGTGGGGTTTTGTTGTCATTAGAAGATGTTCTATTAACATTTTGGGTTTTATATATATATATATATATAACTCGAATTTCAGTATCTTCGTATAATCTCTTTTTTTGGTGGGGTAAAAGCCGTCTTTACCCCATTCTTAGGGTTTATATATAGGGTTTAATTTAGGGTTCATTTTATTTTTTAAAATGAAAACAACTTTTGGGTGTTATATATAGAAATAGAACATTAATATGTATAAGATCCATCCTCTCATGGTATATATAAAAAACACACACACTACAGCTCCATTTTATTCCTTCATCGCCGTAAACAGATAGGGGTGTAACGCTTCATACGTTATAGCGAGTTACACGTAAAATATTGAAACATATATAGAAATATATCTTTTTATAGGTCCAACACTTTGCCTCACCCATTTCTTTTCTTGCACGGAATAAAACTGCATACTAGTTCGCGTGCTTCTTCTGGGCTTGGCACGAAGTATTTCGAGTTCCCATAGAGATGGTCACTGCAAATTTCTCTGCATGCGCTCTCACATGCGCCAGGATCTTTCGCCACTTCCAAACACTTCGGAACACAACCCTTAAGGCACTCACCACCCTTCGCGACACTCGCTTGGATCAGACACGTGGCCATGATAAGGGCGAAAACCGCGAGCCTTTTGAACGTGGTCGAGTGAAATGTCGTCATGACCCCGAGATTTTTGACGTAACAATCGCTGCTTCCTTCTCTCTAGAATGGTGTGTGAAAACTGTAAGAATATTATACAATTTATTTATAGTTCCTGTTTTTACTATTTTTAGATGACCAAATCTAAAAGTAGAGTATTGGCTTACCATTCCGGAAATTACAGTATTTGAGAAGAGTGAGGTTTTAAGAATACTCAGTTTATAACTCAAGTACTTAGAGGTAACCTTAACGAACCGAAAATCTCGATATTTTTTCTGAACTTTACCATTCAAAATTCTCAAACGGTATATTTTTTTATAGAGCCGATTTTTTCAAAACCAATCCGAATCGAACCGAATTTTATAAAATTCTTGAATCGAAATTTTCTTAAGAAAATAAATTTTTTTAAATAAAAACCGAATCAAACCGTACCGAAACTGAAACCGAATCGAACCGAATAATATACGGTACTAATTTGATACAAATTTTAGAATACCAAATAAATCGTTCATGAACCCGAAACGGTTGCCCCAACTAGTAAAACGCAATGAAATAGTTTAACGTATTTTTAAGAAAATCGTCTAAATGATTTAACAAATTGAACGCATATGTGGGTCGCCCATCATGGGTATATATCAAAATCGTTCCTTATTGGCGTATAAATAATTTTACACGTAAAAAATGTTGTTCCTCGTTCCAGTGAACGGCGTCGTTTTATTCGTGTAAACGGCGCTCGAGAGAACAAGAAAGAGATGCAATGCATTCCACGTATATGTTATGGTTTGGTTGCCGTAGGAATTAGACGGTGTCGATACTATTTTAGGTAGGCCGAAATTTAGGTACCACCGAATTATAGGCACGGCCGAATTTTAGTGGCAGAAATATAGTGGACATGGTCCTATCGAGGAATCTCAATGCTGGGATATTTTTGATAATTTCTTTTTAATGTTATTATTTATTTATTCTGAGTTTTCTGTACGAGAGAAATTGTTTTCGTAATTGAAATTACCTTGGAGGATATTTGCGGAACGCGTGAATTTAGGTAGACAAATGATATGGAAGGATAGATTTAGAAAATTTTAATCTAGAAAACATTAATAGTATAATGAAAAAATAAGAGTCATTAATTTGATTTTTTAAAAGCATGTAAAAAATTAATATTAATTTTTCATTGACTTTATATGAATTAATTTAAATAATATTGACTGATTTTAGATGGACTTGTTTAAAATTAATAGAAAATTAATTATATTAAAAGCATGAAAATAAATTATCATAAAAAAAATGATATTTTCTTACACCAATTTAGCAAAGGTGATATATTCCTACGTGAATTTTGAATTTGACAAAAATCTACACTATATTGTCAAATATACAAAATCCATACACGAATAATCCAATTTTATCGCAATTTACTACACAATTTGAAACGGTGTTAAAATATATGTTAATTGCTGACGTGGAAGGCCAGTGGCGGCTGACATGGAAGGTCACGTGGAAAATTTTGTCACGTCAGCATACTACGTCAAATTCAAAAAAAAAATTAAAAAATTAAAAAATTAAAAAAAAAATCGAAAAAAAAATAAAAAAAATACATATATATACATAAATATATATACATACAAACATATATAAATACATATACATATATACATGTATATATACATACAAAATAAAAAAATACATATATATACATATATCTATACGTGTATATATATGCATATATATTCATATCTATATACAAATACAAATATAAACATATATACTCCTATGTATAAATATATCTATATATACATACAAAATAAAAAAATATACACATACATCTATACAAATATATACATACATACATACATATAAATATATTTATATATACATAAATTTTTAATTTGATATACAAGTATATATTTATATATACATAAAAAATAAAAATATATATATATATATACATATACGTACATACAAATATATTTATATATACACAAATATATGTATGTATAAATATATTTGTATAAATGTATGTGTATGTTTGTTATTTTCTATGTATATATAGATATATTTATACATAAGAGTATATATATTTATATTTATATTTCTATATAGATATGAATATATATGTATTTTTTTTATTTTGTATGCATACATATATATGTATGCATTGCATATGTTTATATATAGATACATGTATACATGTATATGTATTTATATATGTGTATATATAAAAATATTTGTATGTATATATATGTATATATGTATTTTTTCGATTTTTTTAATATTTTTATTTTTTTGTTATCAATTAGTTAAAAAAATTGGATAATTCGTGTATAGATTTGAAACATTTGATAATATAGTATAGGTTTTTGTAAAATTACTAAATTGGTGCAGTAAAATGTCATTTTCTTTAAAAAAAAAAATAAGGAAAAACTTCGATTTTGATTTAGAATTATTACGGGCAATTCGACCATACTCTATTTACCGTGGGAGTGTAAAGTGTAAACATAGGATCTTAACCATAAGGGAGAGATTTTCCCATACAGATTTGCAAGGTTTGAGTCTCATTTCAAACCTTTCAAAACCTTTTTTTTTTTACATTTACTACAAAACAGTGAAATATGTAATACAAACAGTGCCTTCAAACACAGTTAGAAGAAAAGCAGTTTTAAGCTGACACTACTGTAGCCTCTATATACAGATATACAGAACATCTCTATGTATGTATGTATGTATGTATGTATGTATGTATGTATGAACAGATTTTGTCTCATCTTCAAAGTGAATAGAAAAAAAAGGGAGTGTGGTTTTTATCTTCAAAAAATGGTGAGGCAGGACAGATTCTAGAACGGAGCTGAAGATGTTCGCCGCAGCTGATACTTGGGCTCATCCAATGGAGTTTCGGGCAACATCTCCTCGAGCTCCTGTCGAACCCGAAGAGAAAACGGTAAGACAAAAACATACAAGGCCGAGTAGTCCCGGCCCGTAGACTAGGAGACCTATATCCCCACTCACTAGAGAGGGCATCCGAAATTCAAAACTCACCTTCTGTTTCTTCAACCTCTGATTAACCTCCTTCAATATCGAGACCCTGTTCTCCAGGCTATTTGTATAAGCCTGTTCATCATAGTTTCGTGTCAAAGAAAGAACGAAAGAATTCCGGAATGTCGTGACAGTTTACAAACATTTTCAGACTTTTTACCTGCTTTTTCGCCCTTGAACGTGCAGCAGATTCCCGGTTCTTTATCATCCTTCTCTGCCTCCTCTCAACAGATTCCTTACTAGACTGCCCTAGCAAACGCCTTTCCCACACTGACATCTGCGCATCTGACAACGTTCCCGTCCAAGGATTAGGCAGTGCTGCACCCGTCATTGCACTACTACCCGCCAGCAGAGGCTGTGCCGTAATCATACCCTGTCGCTGATAGTGTAGCAACTGTGGATTGATGTTGGGATCAAACCCAGAAGCAGACCCACAACTTTGTTTTTCGATGGTGGATTCAGATACAACTCCAGCTTTTGCCAAGAAATCCTCCAAGGTGATTTCTTCCAGACATGGCTGCCGCCTCTCCTGACGCTTGTTCTCCTCGCTGCCTTCGCTTATCTCCATCTCTCTCCAGACTTCATATACCGTTTTCTCGCCGAAAGTTCCGGTGGTCAATGGCAGGCTGGCCTGGCTTTGCATGGAACTACTTTCACTGCCCAGAATCACGCCTCCTGGCCCGGTTACTACAGTCTGGTTAGGTTCAGCAGTCCAAACATTTTTCAGAATTTCATCGATCTCCTCGGGAGTGAGGTTGCACATGGAGTTCTCTCGTGCCAATGGCTCAAACTCAGAATTCTTTGCACTGCCACAGTCTTCACCTTCCATTGAACAGCCAAAAACTAATCTAACAATTACAGCATAACAAATTGAAATGTATATAAGCAAGACAAATTGGATGAGACTTTCATCATCGACTCTCTTGAAAACCTAAAAGCATAATGCAATGCATACAGGTAGACGGACTCATCTAAGCAAAATAGCAACAATACCTCACACGCTTGAGTAGATTAACCAAAACATTTCTTCATAAAAGCAAGAAAGACTGGAACTTTAGCAAACCCACAAACTGAAAATTTGAACCATGATTTCACATCAGAATCTAAGTAAAGATCACAATGGAATCGATCCCAAACCCTGAAGAATTTACGGACGCTGTAGACTACATGTACAAGAAAGTTGGACAAAGTAAATATGACTTCCAATGCAAAGCGTCGAAATTTCTTGCGTGCGAAATCTTCGAGTCCCAAATTCCAAGATGAAAAACTCGGAACTACAATCCACAATCGGATAGACGATGTGAAATTCGGAAGTCTGAAACAATTGGAGAGAGACTAGGCATGAAAGCAACTCACCCTTTCCCATTTGAGTTTCAAGATCATCAGACGGACAACAACAAGAGACGGATAACTACTAACAGAACAGCTTCAAGAAACGTGAACCCACAAAGAAGAAGGAGAAAAAGAAACTTACCAAAGTGAAATCTGACGCAAAAGAATCCCAGAAGCCCAGACAAACAGCAAACTTCGAAAGAAATACAAATGGAGAGGAAAACGACAGAGAAAGAAGAAATGCTTTGAGGCAGTAATCGCAAAAGAAAGAAACTGAGGTTTCTGGGTTTATGAGAGAGAGAGAGAGAGTAAACCTCAGCGTTCGCACAATGCAGGAAAATAGAAGATCGCTGAGATTTTCTTTCCTCGGTGACAGACAAAATGTTCATAACGAGGGAGATTTCAATTCATTGTTTCCCACCGGGGGATATACGGAGGAAAGATTCTGTACGGAGAGACGTCTTGTAAACGGGCTCTTGTATTTCGGGTTTCGTTTTTAAATTTTGAATTTTTCGTTTGATTTGTTTAGGATTTAATTGGAATTTAATAAAAATAAAAAAAATAAAAAAAAACCATTGTGTCGTTTAATTTTTTATTATTCTTTTTATTATGTTAAATTATCTTTAAATTTTCAAAAATTATCTAAATAATTTTTATGTATTTTTCCTTTTGAATCTGTTTAATTTTATAAGTAACCAAACCAAATCCGAATAAAACAAACTGAAATAAATAAAATATGATTTATTATTGGATTGAAACAAATTTGTTTATATGAAATATAGATGTAATACACCTGCCCATTATCCGGCCGATTACATAGTTGGGCTGGGCCGATCCTTCGAATCTAGATGTAGTTGGGCCACTTCGGTGAAATTCCGATTTATATATATATATATATATATATGCCATCGTCGTGTCTTACTTACTAAACTTCGTTTAAAAAACCAATGCGCAAAACATTTGCAGTATATAGAAATTAATAATTTAAACTTATCAACACTTTAAACCATTTAAAAACAACAACAAATATAAATAATAACAAAAGGTCCCTATATTACTCAAAACTTTAACACATGAGATATGGGGGTCTTTCATGGGAAGCATATTCCATAATGTGAGTCAGCTCATGCGATTCATGGGAAGCATTTTGTTCATATTGATATTATTTATTAAATAAATTGAGATTTTGTAAAGTTTTGTTAAATATGCATTCCCTTCTAAAACAACGGTTACATTTTTTATTGCATTAAATATGCTAGTTAGAAAATATACATGTTTAGAAGTTATTTTAATTTCCGCGCACTTATATTTAATCTATATTATTGGATATGTTGATATATATATATATATATATATGAATGATCCATTCACGAGCAAACACCGCTATAGTTCTTATGCGGAAGTATTTTATTATAGACGAAAAAGATCCATATTATTAAGAAATAAACAATTTTGAGATTTTTTTTTTAAAAGTATTGTTTTTGTTTTATAATTATTTTTTTGTCTAAAATAAACTAAATTGATTTAATATTCCGTATCATAAAACGGAAAACACAGAGAATAAAAATAAGTTGTGGAGAGAGTATAACTATTGGTAGCATGGCTGCAACACGAAGCCAAGTGTTAGGCCTCCTATTAACTCAGGGTTAATTAACTAGAGGCCCAACAAACTCCAGTTGGGTTCCTCCTCTGGTTAACCATTTCTTTTTTTCATCATTTGTCACTCTTTATTTAACTTCACACACTCTCATTCCCTGTTTTGGTAAACAAATTCTCCCGACAGTTCCTCTCCAAAGCCAACTTCACTTCCAAGGAGAAACCCTTTGTTTCTTCTTTCCCTTTCTTCCATTTCTCTCTCGATTTCAATCCTCTGTTGGTGTTTCGTTTCTCATAATTTAATGAAGAGATCTCCGACCTGCACTTCTTCTGCTTCTTCTTCCTCCGTCTCTTCCCCGCCCTCCGACCTTCCGGCTCGTCCGGAGGCTCCGAGACCGAAACGTGCCAAGAGGGCAAAGAAGTCTTCTCCTTCTTATTCGTCGTCTTCCTCTTCGACGACGTCCACTGATGATAACCCGACAAGCCCTGGCTCCGGGAGACGAAGCTCGATCTACAGAGGGGTCACAAGGTTTCGATTTCTGACTTTTTTTTCCCTCTAGCTTGTTGTTTTTTCTCCATTTTTTGTCTGGTTTTGATCCGATTTGATTATGTGCATTGCATGTTTTTGCGGTTTGTGTGACCAGACATCGATGGACCGGGCGATTTGAAGCTCATTTATGGGACAAGAGCTCTTGGAATTCAATCCAGAACAAGAAAGGCAAACAAGGTATTTTACCTTTTTACCCCTCTTGTTTTTTTTTTGTAATCTTCCCAATTTGAAAAAAAAAAGTTTGGATTTTGATCCGATTTTTCAAGCAGACGACAGATTCAAAGATCTGGGCACGCATTTTTCTCTCCGAACTCAACTGATTCTCCATAATTTTCTGATTCTCTTCCTCACGATGCTCTTTCCTTTTGTTCATGGGGCGATTGATCCTGCTCTGCCACTTCCCTGCTTCGTCTCCTACATCAGTGTATCTGGGTAAAATTATCTTCAACTAATCAATCAAGTTGGTGATCATAATTAATTATTCCTTAATTAAACCCTCGCCTCACCTGCTACCACCTAATTTCCCTTCTCTTCAGGGGCTTATGACAGCGAAGAAGCCGCCGCTCGTACGTACGATCTCGCTGCGCTCAAGTACTGGGGACCCGACACGATCCTGAATTTTCCGGTGGGATTTCGTCAGATTGATCGATGCATGTCCGACTTTTGATCGAATCCGACTCAAGTTTATGTTTTTTTTTTGTTTTTTTTTGAAGATTGAAACGTATACGAAGGAGATGGAGGAGATGAAGAGAGTGACGAGAGAGGAATACTTGGCGTCGCTGCGGCGGCAGAGCAGCGGCTTCTCTAGAGGCGTCTCCAAGTATCGCGGCGTCGCTAGGTTTCTTTTCTTTTCAAAGTTTATTTTTATTTTATAAAATAACGACACCATAAAAATGACAAAATTGAATTTTATTTTGTACGAAAAAATCGTGGAGATTTTGTGTTAGTAACAGTTTTTAGTTTCTTTCATAATTTTGAAGAATTTAAAGTTTTCTTGAGAAAATTAAGCTGCTCTTCTTCATTTTGGTTCTGTGTTTTGTAATTTTATTTTCCAAAAGTTTATTTTTAATTGATAAAAGAATGACACCAATACAAAGGGAAAACGGAATTTTGATTTATAAAAAAAAAAACAATAGAGTTTTTGTGTTAATACTTAATAACACTTTTTTTATAGCGCTATTTAATATATAATATGTGCATAATTTTAAGTAATTTAAAATGTTTTTTTTTAAAGAAGATAAGACTGATGAAGGGTCGTGTTTGGATACTGGAACAACAGGCATCATCATAATGGACGATGGGAGGCGCGAATTGGGAGAGTGTTTGGAAACAAGTACTTGTACCTCGGCACTTATAGTACGTACCCCCCCGATCTCCCTCTCGAGTTTGCACTCGCTTCGACGACTTTTCACACGTTTTTAAATGCAAATAAATCTGCAATTTGAGGCTAATTATTTAATTATATTATAATTTAGTTATTCTTATGTCTCCGAGGCATCGAGACCTTTAGTGTGTTCGTGTTACGAGTTCTTTCGTAGGAAAACGACAACGAAAGGACTTTGCAATCCAAAAAAAATAACGTGACATTAAAACAAAATCATTCGCGAAAGTTAGTTCATTTATATAGTAACAATTGAATATATTTTTCTCCATTTCGAACAACATAAAACCATTCCAATCTCCTTTTTCTTTTTAAGAAAATGGTTTTGGAGTCTTAACTTTTTTTTTTTTAACAATTTTCCATATATTGTTTAAAATGAAGAATTATGTTTAAAAATATAAGCATAAATGGAAGAGAAAAAAATCAAATAAATAAGATGAATATAGATCGGTACTCTAATAAACCCCTTTCTTAAGCAAAATTTATTTTCTTGCTAGACTCAATTCGCTTCTTTGCTTTCAAAACTATGCAAATTTATATATTTTGGACGTGTTCCTTTTCTAACAATGTATATAAATTGATTTACAAACTTTTTATAGGAAATGATATAAAAAATCTAAAATTATTAATTTAAAACGCTTATGGAAAAGAGAACAAAATCGATGTGTCCTTATGGGCTAAAAAGCACGATATGGACACATCGTTAGGGGAATAAAATCAAAGAAAATTTAGTAGGTTGACAAAAAAAAATTCATTAATAGAAAAATTAACTGAAATAATAATAAATATCGACAGAAAAAAAAAAAGGAAAAGAAATGGTGAGGCAGTGCCTTTGAATCACACTCACGTGAGGTGTCCAGGTTTTGACATCATGTTCCCATATATATTTTTATAATCGTTTATTAAATCTAATTCCCACCTTTTCATTTTTATTAAAAAAAATTACATTTCTTATGTGCAGTAAGGAATATTAACAACTTTTCGCTAAAAAAAAAGTTACCATTTTTAAATTGGTTTGATACTTTTTTTTTGGGATCGTGCAGATATCTGTAGGAAAAAAAATAATCATTTTGCTCATCTTTTATGTTCTTTTGGAAAAAAAATTATTCTTTTTCCTCATAAACTTGTTTTCTTTTTGGAACACAATTTAGTCTTTTTTTAAAAATAGATTGTTACCCAAATTTATTTTATCAGTCAAATGATGTTCAACTGCAAAATAAGTAGTAATTTTTTATCTCCTAATTGAAATCATGTCATATATCCATCCATAATAACATTTGGCTTTTATTAGGAAAATTCATTAGTTATCATGAGTTCTAATGATAAATAAAAAAAAACTTATTACCACATCAAACAATAATTTTCCATTTTTTTTAATCTAAAAGCTTAATAGTTTTACAATTAAACGATAAAAAAAGGTTGTTTTCATACTTTTGAATAACATTCGAGCTCCTAATTATTATTTTTTAGGAAATATCACATAGAAGGGTCAAAGATCATTATTACAAAAGAAATTAGTGGTTGGAAGTTATACACACGACGATCTAAGTGTGCCAGTTACAAGTGTGTCTTCATTTGCATGAAACACAACTGGCGCGTGAGTGCGTGGGTCAAGTCACGTGACAAAAACCCGGACTCGATCTGGTTTGGTCTATTTTTTGCTTTCCTTAACATTTTAATTTTATAGGTCTTTTAAAATTTATATTTTATGGTTTTGTCTTATTAAAATGGGATTCAGTAGGGGATTCGATACTAATCCCTGTGCTTAGTAGGAATCACGTGCCTCTCTGATTACTCGGGTAGAAAAAATATATGCTTATTATTATGTATATTCTGAAATAAAATTTCTATTTCTCTCTCTATTTTAGTATTTAATTTATCTCTAATATTACGTGAAATTCGTAGAAAAGAATTGTTTGCATGGATATAAGTATGTGGACCTAATTAGGTCCTGGTACACTAATATAGGGTTTTATAACTTTTATTGATGTTGACAATAAGTATCATGCGTGAGTGTGTGTATATTTCGTTATTATTATATGCAACTTTACACATATAATAAGGTCGGAGTTGTTGACTCTCGCTCTAACCATAACTTTTTATTGGCGGCGGAGTGATTAATTAGGGCAAACAAACCACTTCTAATCAAACGCAGAGTTTTGCATTGTCACAAGTCCGTTTTCGTATACCAGACCGGAAGCCAAAGAAATCCAAACCAAAACCGGTTCTACAAATTTCAGAGTTTGGTTTGGGTTTCTTTGGTTTTCAATTCGGTTCGGTTTATACCAGATTGTGACGATGGTCACCGATATAAACCCGAAATGAGCCAAAATTTTGGTCTGGTTCGGATTATTTTGGGTTTTACCATATTTAACCGGTTTACCCGGTTTATCCAATTCCATTCGGTTTAGTTCAAAATTGCCCAGGCACATTGTCTTATTATCTTATTAGGGAAATTGTTTAAATAATAAAGACTAATACCATCTGACATTAGAATTATCTGTTGTTACTGACCGGTACAATGACGTACCACAGAAAATTTTTCAAATTGGCTCATTCTTTTCCCATTTTTTGTATCCATTTCTGGATATATGGTGCCAATTTTGTGAAGCTTTTTACGTACTAATACACTTAGTTTTTTTTTTGGTCGGGGGCTGAAAGACACACAGGAGGAAGCGGCGGCGGCGTATGACATGGCGGCGATAGAGTATAGAGGAGCGAATGCGGTTACGAACTTCGACATTAGCAATTACATGGACCGTTTGAAGCAAAAAGGCGTTTTCCCCTTCGCTCTCAACCAAACCCAAGAGCATGTGATCGAATCACCGGCTGCAGAAATCGATCAAGAAACCGAGGCGAAGCCTGGAAAAGAAGGAGAAGAGTACGGGCATTACTTGCAAGAGCCGAACCAAGAAGAGCAGAAACGAGAGCAAGACACTGCAGAGATTCAGACGTATAAAGAAGGAGAGGTCACTTGCTGCATGGACTCTTCGACCATTCTGGACATAGACTCTTCTTCGGACAACAACGAGCTGGCTTGGAGCTTTTGTATGGATTCAGGGCTCGCCCCGTTTTTGACGGATCAGAAGCCGAGCCCTATCGAGTTCCCCGAGCTGTTCAACGATCTAGGGTTCGAGGAAAGCATCGACTTCTTGTTCGAGGACGTGAAACAAGATTTCTCGGCCTTAGATAACCCGGGGTTTTTCGGGGTCGAGGAGGCTGTCATCGTCAGTTCGGAGAGCCCGTCTTCTTCTTCGTCTCCATCGCTTTCCTCGTCGAGCGATTCGGCTTCTTCGACGACAACCTCGGTTTCTTGTAACTACTCTGTCTGAGAGCTTCGGATTCTAGGCGGTTTTCGGTATTTCCTTCGAGTTTTTTTTTTTTTGGTTCTAGGTTATGTTCTTGTTTCTTGTCCGTGTGCTCGTTGGTTTGGAACAGTCCCCCCTCTGTTTTTTTTTTCCATCCCTTTTGTGGTTAATTTGAGATAGAAAACAAACAAAAAAATAAAATGAAAAATGAAAAAGAATGTTCTCTCGAGTTTTGGAGTTTGTGTTGTCTTCAGCTACAATAGACAATCCAAATGTATACACACTTGCATATTTAATATATATATATATATGTATGTATATTGGATCAGATTAATAAAATTTTAATATAAAATTTAGTTATAAACAATTTTTTATTGAAACATTAATAATATTTCTACCAAGTTTGTAGATATAATATAAAAAAAATTAAATTGTTAGGAATTTCATAGAGGTCCAATACCTCTACACACACGCATATATATATATATGATCCAATAAATATATCTGCCATGTAACACGTTTATGTACGCATACTGCATACACATCCAATAAACATATATACATACTGATCTATCAAACGTGAACCACTTGGGTGCGATTTTGGAGCTCCGATCCTTCCACAGCAAGCATACCGTCTCTCCTCTCTCTCTCGTCTCTTCGCCGCTAAAAGCTGCATATCTCTTCGGTTTGTGTTCATTTTTTTCTTCTCACGGATCTTTGATTCATCGCGTCTTCGTTTCTGTTCTTCTCTTGTTTTTCTTTTCCCGGGGAAATCGCACGAAAGGATATCGAATTCAAGTAAATCTTATTAATAGTTGTTGTTTTTTCTGTTTTTCGTTGTCAATTATTCATCGCCCATAAACACGATTAGGGTTTTTCTCCCGGTTTTCGCGATTTACAATTACAGGTCGTCTTATGATGTTAATTAGGGTTTTGATCTGACCCATTATTGTGAAATTATCGAATTCCGATAGCAGTTGCCCAAGTGGTCTCCCTTCAATCTGTGTTGCGTGAAATTAATGTAGTGATATCCGATTTCTTCCATTTTGGGCGACAATTTTGACTATCAGTTTTATTGACATTATCTGTGGTTACTGGGTTTCAGATCTGGTCTTAAACTGGTTGACTTCTGTTGCGGTGTTTGGTTTTCCGGAAGCTTTGATTAGGAAATGAGTCAAAAGGGTTTGATATATAGCTTTGTTGCGAAAGGAACGGTTGTTCTCGCGGAACATACGTCTTATTCGGGTAACTTTAGCACCATTGCTGTGCAATGCCTACAGAAGCTACCTTCAAATAGCAGCAAGTTTACTTATTCGTGTGACGGTCACACGTTTAACTTCCTTGTTGACACTGGTTTCAGTAAGTTTCTTTCTTTGTTCCATGTCTCCATAATTAGTGTCTGAATATTTTACTTCCGGCATGATGATGTGTGGTTGGTTGATCATTGATGATGCATGTGTTTTTTTTCCTTTCTGTTTTGCATTCCAGCATTTCTTGTGGTTGCTGATGAGTCCATGGGAAGGAGTGTTCCTTTCGTGTTTCTTGAACGGGTGAAGGAAGACTTCAAGCAGCGGTATGGTGCAAGTATAAAGGAAAATGAGCCACACCCTCTTGCTGATGATGATGACGATGATGATTTGTTTGAGGATCGGTTCAGC